TTCAAATGTGTAGACCGATTCCTATGCTTACGTGAAGACGAAAATGTGGAGAAGCTTGCGTATAGTCGCGTACCGTGTAGTAAAGGAGACATTTTCCAAGATGATCAGTTGGGGTAAGTGGACAGGAGTATAACGACCACCACCACCGTCGACGGAGTAGTTCAAGTAGTCCTTGTTAAGGGGGACCTCAAAAGTACGTTGTTCATTTGTTATTATTTTTGCATGGTACGAAAACTGTACCAAGATTTTGGAGAAATTCTGAAAATTAATTGTTTATGAAACATGTAAAAGTGATCTATGAATCTTTTTTCTAATTACCCAGATATGTACATCTTTGTTTTTCAAAATAAAGGCTTAAAACTGCAAGAAGGCTGCGACGTGACAGCCAGTGCAAGTAATACGAATGGTTAGCAGTTACTGCTTTGTATGACCACGTATGCTGCTGCTCTCAGTCGTCGACCGTGGTGGTGGTCGTTATACTATTTGAAACGACTTTGTAACAATTTTTTTAATCTTCAAATTCTATTTGTAGAGTGTAATTTTCAAAAAGAGATATAATTTCTAGATAGAATGACTGCTTAAATTTGAAAGGGTATCCCTTTATCGAATTTTTGCAATTGTTGTCTCCTATGTGTATCATTTACTTGCTTACAGTTATGTTAACATCACGATCTCAGTAAAAATGTCGTTCAATGTCTGGGTCCTCCTAACTTTTTCTTTTTTCTTTTGTTGTGGTTTTGGAAAGAAACTGTGAGCTTTCGATTTCTAGAGTGGTAGACAAGCGCCGTCTCATGAAGTTCATGACATTCTGTCTCGAATGGAACACGAAGCGTGAGGAAATGGAAGGCTGGAAGGGTATGTATAGTATGCTTTTTTCTTCCAGTTGTTTTTAATTACAACATTTTTTCAGAATATCAGGATGAACCATTTGAGAAGTTCTTGGAATCTCAGGAAATTACCGGAGAGCTTCGCAGCTACATCGCTGATGCTATTGGAATACTTCATCCGAATGCTACAACCAAGGATGTGAGCCTTGTCATGCAAAAGACCGCAGCAAGCAACAACTATTACAATTTTTAGGGTCTGACAGCTGTCTGTAAATTTGTGGATTCTGTGGGACGTTTCGGTCCCTCGCCATTCCTCACTTCGCTCTATGGGAGCGGTGAGATTCCGCAGTGTTTTTGCAGACTTTGTGCTGTATTCGGTGGATTGTACTGTCTTGGGCGACCTGTGGAAGCTTTGATCCAAAAAGATGGAAAGTAAGTTAGAGTTTCTTTCATTTCCGATATTCTAAAACCAGCAGAATTGGCGAAAGCTTTGTTTCCAGGGTTGTCGGCGTAATTGCCGACGGATTCCGGGTTAATTGCACACATCTGATCATGTCGTCCGAATATGTTCCAGCTAGTGTAGAGTCTAAGGGTCCTGAGAAATGGATCGATAGAGCTGTCTATGTAACAAATAGATCGATATGGACAGAAGAGAAGGAGCACGTGAGTTTTGGAGGTTCTTGAAGTAAGGGCTGAGTCGTCAGTTGAATCATTTAAACACAGATCTCAAGAAGATATTCTTAATTCTCGAAGTGTTTTTTTT